ATAAAGTTATTGTGTCCCTCTGGAAACTGTGACATTGCCTCATGGCTTCCTGGACACATCTAGGCAGGGATTTTTTTTAGGAACAATGCAGGCATGGTTGATCTTTTGTTCCTCAAATATCTTTTTTTTTTAAACCTCCCAGTCTAATAAACAATCCTTGGCTGTTCTGGTTCCTTCTCTCCCTTCTCCCTTCTCTCTTTTCCTTCTCCTTCTCCTTCTCCTTCTCCCTTCTCCTTCTCCTTCTCCCTTCCTTCTCCCTCCTCATCCTTCTCCTCTCCCTTCTCCCTTCTCTTGCTTCTCACTTCTCCTTCTCCATTCTCCTTCTTCACTTTCTCTTCTCCTTCTCCTCCACCTTCTCCCTCCTCCTCCTCCTCCTATCCTCCTTCTCTCCTCCTTCCCCTTCTCCTTTGTTGAAGGCCTCCCCTGTCCTCTGATTCAACTGAACAATGGTCTCACGGGCAGTTGCAACTGGGCATCAGGTATCAAACATCTTGGGGTGCTAAACAGCTCACAAAGAGCGTCTCATAGACGATCTGCAAAATTGATGACTAGACCAGACAAGACAAGGGAACACGGGAAAATGAGAAATCGTTCCTTGCAGTTGCCTTTCTCAGCTCAGAAGATACTCCTGGTCCATTTCACTTGTGGTTTTGTTGATAACTGGCATATGTGGGCTCCAAGCCAGACCTATCCCTGGGCATGAATTGATGCTCTGTTGAGGGACAATGTTTTGAAAGGCGCGTGGAAGGGCTGTGGTGTAAACATGCTGAACTGAAGGAATGTGCTGTGCTTGATTAAAATATGATGGCTTTTGCTAAACTTGTCCAGGTCAAAGGTCAGGATTCTTGACCGGCTGTCTTAGATCAGAGTTGGCAGACTCTGGAGAAGTCTGGGTGACCCTCGGATTTATTTATTTTTTATTTTTTTAAAAGCAGTGACTGAACGTGATTATGGGGAACTGGGCAGAGCTGGCTGTTTTAGGAAAGGAAACCGATGTCTGGAATGCACCCGAGAGGGCAAGAATAATAAAAGCTTTGTAAGCATTCTTTCTTCGACAAGCCCTGGCTTTCTGCTTTGCTGAACAGGGAGGTTTTGACTAGCTGACGCTGTGTGTTCTTTAGCCTTTGGCTTTTGTGTAGATCAGGATGCTGGGAAATGTGCCTCTGGCACGTGGCAAACACTTCATGCCTCAGGTGTGGGTGTGTTTCATGACATCCCCTCCTTCAGCAGCTGGACGGTCAGCCCGACATCACCCCAAACTGCAGAGCAAAGCAGAAAGCTGTGCTTTGCAAACATTGCGCCTTCGTTTGTACGAGCCAGAGACAGCCACAGCAGTGGAGACATAACTGGTTGTCCTCAACTTATAACCATTTCAACCAATCAGAATAGAGCTGGGAGGGACCTTGGAGGTCTTCTAGTCTGCTTGAGACCCTATACCAGTGGTGGCGAACCTATGGCACGGGTGCCAGAGGCGGCACTCAGAGCCCTCTCTATGGGCACGCGCGCCGTCGCCCCAGTCCTAGGCCTTCAGCTGGGTTTTATAAAACCTTTTCGCTTTAGGCCTCCGCCGCCGTGTGCAAAAAAAAAAAAGTTCAATCAATCAGTCAATTTCAACTTCTCGTGGGAAAAAAAAGATCTTGCAAAGTTGGAATTGATTGATTGAACTTTTTAGTCCCACCCAGTCTACCGTTACCACCACAGCCACGCCCACCCAATGGGCCACACCCACCCAATGGACCATGCCCACCCAATGGGCCACACCCACCCAATGGGCCACGCCCACCTGGCACCCGACGATGCATAAGTGGGTTTTGGGTTGCAGTTTGGGCACTCGGCCTCTAAAAGGTTCGCCATCACTGCCCTATATATTCTTAAAAGCCTCCAATGATGAAGCACCCACAACTTCTGAAGGCAAGCCTGTTCCACTGACTAATTAAACACCTGGTTGGACAGAAGATAGAATTTAGTAGCATGAATTATATACTTAAGCACCTGTCACTCAAGGCACCCGGGGATTTTTGGATTATGGAGGTTGAAAATGATCCTCAGGTCAAAACACTAATTTCGGCAGCTCACCCTAAGCCAACTTCAAACCCCAAGAAGATTGAGGAATTTGGGTCAGGGGGCACAAAATATGCCCTACAAGGACAGACGTCAATTTTAGGAGTAAATCTCAGCGTATTTCGTTCCTGAGCATCAGCCAGGTAGAACTGCAGCTGATCCACCTATGGCAGACTGCGACCAAGTCTTGCAAAGATATTGTGTTCTTCGTTTAGATCTTTGCCACACTCCCAAGGAGAGCATCCAAGGATTATATCTCCTGGTCTCCTGAAGATGCTCTTTTGTGTTGCAGTTCAGCTTCCTTCAGCCCCAAGGTTTGAAGGAAACCATCTTTTTTTCCCCCCTGGCTGGGGGCTGTGGGTAAGAGAAGGCAGCACCTGCTTTGAAAAGGAGATCCCCCCTCCTGGTTGCTGGCATTTCTATCCTCTTGTCAACAAAGCATCTGTCCGATGCCAGCTGCCCCAAGGTTGTTTGTTGATCTGCTTGAAGCAGAAGACCTCAGAGGCCTTGAGGCACCCAGGTTGAGAGATTACCTTCCACCTTGGATGGTTACACAGAGGATTCCCTGCTTCAGTCATCACGGCTGACTCAGAAGGCCCAAGAGAAGACTTTGTTTTTGTCCCTTGAGATCATGACACAATACCTCCAAAAAAAAAAGAGAGAGAGAGAGTCGAAAGCCAGATTATTTAGCAAATGAGATGTTGTGATGCCTCCACTGCATCTCTGATTCCCCAGTCAATCAGCAACCTATATTTTAGATGCCTGACTTCTTATCTCATCCTGTTGCCAAACTGGATGGACAAAGTGAGAGTAGGAGAGGCTATCCCAGCCTGATTATCTACCGTTTCATCTGGGCGCCTCCTTGTGAGAAGGCTTTGGTGGAAGTCCACCTGCCCCACCTGTTGACTGCAGGTGGGCCACACAGCCTCGCTGCTCTCCTCCCCCTGGGCTCAGGTCGAGCTGAATGAAAGAGAGCAACCATAGCCAAAATCAAACAGGGCAGAGGGACATGTCTAAACTCAGGCAGCGGGGGCTGAGAAGCGGGAACAAAGAAAAGCTTGTTTCCTTCCCTCCCACAGATGTGATTCGGGGTCATCTGTAGCAACCAAACCAGGCTGGGCGATCGAAGGTCAGCAGATGTTTACAAGGGAGCCGTATTGTTATCTAACTCCTTGTTAGTTCCCTCTGCTAGTGGCGTGGTTAGGTGTGGTTGTTGGCTTTAAATCCAGTTCTCTTTCTCTGTGTGTGCATGCATGTGTGTAGGTTGGCTTTTCCCAGAGAGCTGGATCAAGGAGAAGAAAACAAAAAACACCGTGGGAAATGTGGGAAATGGTATTCCATCCTTGAGTAAATGGCTTTGTCCGTCCTCTCTCTCTTTTTCCACTCCTTTTCTCTCCCTCACTTCCCTCCTCACAATCTGTACAATTCCTGAGCATTGTGTGGAGGGGAGAGGTAGCGAAGCAACGGAGGAGGATTTATGATTGATCTGAACAATTAAGGTGGATTCTGCAGATGGAACCTGCTCTCTGCAATCTAGGGGAGCAATTCACAATCCAAGATCAGAAGACGAAGCAGCTTGGGGGTAGCATTAGACTCCGAGCAGTGTTTCTCAACCTTGACAATTTTAAGGCATGTGGACTTCAACTCCCAGAATTCCACAGCCAGCATTGCTGGCTGTGGAATTCTGGGAGTTGAAGTCCACATGCCTTAAAATTGTCAAGGTTGAGAAACACTGCCTGAGAGGAAGTGAGAAAGAAAGAGGCAAGGCAGACTGCTTGCTAATTTGATGCGGGAAGCTTTCCTAGGTCATGTTCTCATGTCAACAGTTTGGAAATGCCTCACATGGCAGAGGGACCAAAGGAAGGCGTGGGTGTATCATTGATTCACGTGTGCTGATTGTATCTATTTATTTTTTTTGAGGAGGTGCCTTCAGATCAGGGTTCACTCTCAACAACTGGCTGGAGAAGTCCCAGTAATTTTCTTGGCCAGATTTTAGTTTGCCGTTGCCTCCTGCCTAGGGCTGAGAGGGTGTGACTGGCCCAAGATTACCCAGCTAACGTGGTGTCTAGAACTCACCGTCTCCTGGTTTCTGTCCTGATGCCTTCAATACTACACCACCAGCCTAGTGGTTAAAGTGCTGGCCTAAAAACCAGGAGATGGGGAGTTCTAATCCTGCCTTTGACATAAAAGCCAGCTGGGTGACTTTGGATCAATCACCAGGAGATGGGGAGTTCTAGTCTTGCCTTAGGCATGAAAGCCAGCTGGCTGGCTTTGGCCCAATCACCAGGAGACGGGAAGTTCTAGTTCTGCCTTAGGCATGAAAGCTGACTGGGTGACTTTGGACCAATCACCAGGAATCTGTGAGTTCTAGTTCCACCTTAGGAATGAAAGCCAGCTGGGTGATTTTGGGCCAATCACCAGGAGACGGTGAGCTCTAGTCCTTTCTTAGCCACGAAAACTGACTGGGTGACTTTGGCCCAATCCCTCTCTCTCAGCTGAACCCACCTCACAGGGTTGTCGTTATGGGGAAAATAGGAGGAGGAAGAAGCATTAGGTACGTTTGCCTCTTTGAATTGCTTATAAGGTAATAAAAGTGAGATTAAAAATCCAATGAATAAAACAAAGAAATATCCAGAACCGGGATGTTTGAAATATAGAAGCAGTCCTGTGAAATCAACCCCTTCACAATGGAAAAACAGAAGGGGGGGGGATTCCATAGTCTGCTGGGTGTATATATTATTTATACAGGACAGTGTGAATTGGTCAAGAAAGAGACTGTTGATTTAAAGCTCCTGGAAAAAACCAGACGTTCCTGAGTCACAGATCAGTCTGAGTGTTTCTATCATCACCTTTGAGTTTCCTTTGCATGAAATGGTTCAATACTTTCCTCAATCTGGGCTCAGTCCTGAATTTGCCCCCTTTCCCCCCCTCTTTCATAGGTGGGAAAAAGTTCCAGTTTAATACCACAGAGAAACACATCACCCTCTACCACGCAAAGGGCTCTTCTTCCGTGTTCGTAGGAGCAGAAAACAAGCTTTACATTTATAATTTGGAGGACTCCACCAGCCACGTGGTAAGGAGACTGGGAAAGGGATGGCGAAGTTGATCATCCAAGTGTTAAGTTTTAGAGTTGCAAAGTTCTCTGATCCAGACTTCCCAAGAGGTGCTGGATTCTGGAAAACACTTCTTATCCCTTGACAATTATGAGTGACTTCCTTTTTTCCCCATCTCTGAATCATCTCTTCCCCTGGGATTGGTTTAGAAAAAACGGCAAGGTGTTGGTAGCTAATTGCACTGCTGCAGCAACAAGAGATGAGTTGTTATGTTTACAACCAGGGTGGAAAGTTTTAGTACCTGCAGAAAGCTGTTGCAGAATGGAGTGCACCCCTTCGGTAGACCTGCTAGCCAGAACAGAACAGAATGACAGAGTTGGAAGGGACCTAGGAGATCTTCTAATCAAGAGGTCCCCAACCTTTGGGGCACCAGGGACACCGGTTCTGTGGAGAAAGGTTTTTCCACGGACTGGAGAGTGCGTAGTTTTGTGTGCTGCCTGCATCCCATGGATGGGGCTTTGCTGGTTTGTGCGGACCGGTTGCTGGCATGCCACAGACCAGTACCGGTCCATGGACCAGGGGTTGGGGGCCCCTGTTCTAATCCAAGCAGGAGACCCTATCCCATTCCAGACAAATGGTTGTCCAATCTCTTCTTAAAAACCTCCAGTGTTGGAACACCCACAACTTCTGGAGGCAAGCCGTTCCTCTGATTAATTGTCCTCACTGTCAGGAGATTTCTTCTTAGTTCTGGGTTGCTTCTCTCCTTGATTTATTTATTTATTTATTTATTTAACAGAATTTATATGCCGCCCTTCTCCCCATGGGACTCAGGGCGGCTCACAGCATATTAAAACATCATACAAAAAATTTCCCCTACTAAAAAACCAATTAAAACCCAAATATTGGTAGCTGTGGCTCTTTAAAATCGTTAAAAATTGTCCCTATTTCATTGTTTCTTGTCTTATTTCTTCCCCATTTCTCTTTTGTACAGGAACGTTTTGATATATCCACGTCCCTGTGTGAAAATCCCGTAAGTCTGGATAAATAGTTCCTTCCTCCCTCCCTCCCTCCTTTCTTTCCTTCTTTCTTTCCTTCCTTCCTTCCTTCCTCCCTCCCTCCCTTCTTTCCTTCCTTCCTTCTTTCCTTCCTTCCTTCCTTCCTCCCTCCCTCCCTCCTTTCTTTCCTTCTTTCCTTCCTTCCTTCCTCCCTCCCTCCCTTCTTTCCTTCTTTCCTTCCTTCCTTCTTTCCTTCCCTCCTCCCTCCCTCCCTCCTTTCTTTCCTTCTTTCCTTCCCTCCATTCCTCCTCTTCCTCCTCCTCCTCCTCCTTCTTTTTCTTCACCTTCATCTTTTCTTCATTTCTTTTCCAGGAGGACGCCACCAATTATCTCACCTTCATCGAGAAGTACCAGGACAAGGTGTTGATTTGTGGCACCAACGCCTGCAGGCCAACCTGCTGGAACTGGGTAGGGCCCATGGTTGCCTCTTCTTCCCTTTTGTGTGACCTTTGTGGAAAGTTGGCAAAATGAGACTTGAGGATATCATCTTTGACCTTCTTTTCTGTCCTCTGCAGGTCGATGGGAAGAAAGAGCTAGGGATCGGTGCCCAGAGCTTAGCTCCTTTTGGCCTTGATAAAAATTCCCTCGTCCTCATCGATGGTAAGTCTGATGAAATCAAAGCTCATCGTTAGGAATCCACCAGTGAACGTCTCCAGATCATTTGTTCTGAAGCCACCTTTCTTCCAAATTCACTGTAGAGTTAGTTTTACAATCTCCATGATGTTAGAAAAGATCTTGGGGTGGCTTTGGGATCCCCTTTTAATTTTTGTAAGTATTTAAATACCCAAATATGATGTCTTCTATATCAGGGCTTTTCAACCAATGATACGGGTACCACCTGTGGTATATTGGCACCTGGCAGGTAGTACGCGAACATCCTAGAAAAGTGGTAGCAGGGGAGGGGAATGAGCTGAACCGGTGGCAGCACCGCACAAGCCTGAGCGAGAGACAGCTGGAGCTGCAGGGCTATCAGGGCTCAGCGGAAGCGCCAGGATCAGCGCCAGGCTCCAGCTGGAGCTCTGCGCTGATCCTGGCGCTTCTGCTGAGCCCAGAAGAAGCGCCGATCAGCTGGAATGTTGCAGCATCTCCAGGGTCTTGTGATTTACATTCAGATGCTTGACAACTGATTCATATTTATGATGGTCACAGTGTCCCAGGGTCATGTGAAGTGACCAAAACCTGCTGCAACCACCCAGCAGAAGGGGGGAATAAAAACCAAACCCCACCCCACCCCCGCTGCCAATCCCCAATAGAAATGCTCACAACAATGGAAACCTTGGACAGGAGGAAGAGTGCCGCTGGGCGGGCTGGCAGGTGTCTTGCTCGGCTGTGGCTTGGGGGGCACTTTTTTCAGTGCCATTTTGTAACTTCAAACAGTCACTAAGTGAACTGTTGTAAATCGAGGACTACCTGTACTTTATCACTTTTTTCCTTTTTTTTTTTTTTTTTTTTTTTTTTTGGTCATCAAATTTTTGACACCTTGCTAGGTGTCAAAAATCATATCCTAAAAGTGGTACAATGGGTGAAAAAGCTGAAAAGCCCTGATCTATATCTTCCTTATTTCTGGATTCCAAGTTCCCTCTTGAAGGGTGCGTCCTTCTGTTGGGAAGTCTCGTTGTAGACATTTCTCGTTGCACAATCCCCGTGATGGAATCCCCAGGGGAAATTACATATCTTCCTTGTGAGAACTCTTTTGGGAATCGGTTGGGTGAGAAATTCTTTCAGTTTCTTCCTCATCTTCTTTCTTTTCTTACAGGCAATGACATCTATTCGACTATCCGGAAATACCAATCCAATGGACGGATCCCTCGTTTCCGGCGGGTCCGTGGAGCCGCTGAACTTTACACCAGTGACACAGTCATGAAGAGTAAGTGTTGCAGTTTTGGAAGAGACAATTGAGCCACAGTGTTGTGCTTTGTAACCCTGGCAAAAAAATCTGACAGGGTTATAGTGCCTGGCAAGGAGGATTAAGGCAACATGTGCAGTTAGTTCCTGCTTTGTGTATTGTGAGAACATGGCTTGCATTGAGGGCTAGCTGGAAAGCAGAATGGCTAGTAAAAAAAAAACCAGTTGGCTCAGCCAGTTGATCAAGTCCTCAGAAGCTCCTTTTCAAGGAGGTTGAAGACCACCATTTCAATTTTCCCATGATGCTCTGCATTGGAAGATCATGGGGCATTGTGGGGGCCTTCTGAAAATAGGTGTCCCCAACTACCCAGAACTGGTGCAGATCAATGTTGCTGCGACCATAACTCTTCAGAGAGTGGCTTTGCCAAGGATGCCTCCAATCTCAAAAGGGATTTATCTTCTCTTCTCTGGGGGAAATTGGATGCCCCCCCCATTCGCAAGACTCGGTTCTCTCAAGGGCAGAAAGACCAGGGGTTCCCCAGCCCCCACCAAGTAGAAATTGAGCTTTGGACTTATGGAGGAAGACTTAAAACAAACACAACTCTTGCCCCAAGGAGTTAGAAGGGAACAAGAAAGAGCCATCCAGGTGTCTGCTGTGTAATTAACGTCATGGAGGATGAGTTCTTGGAAATCTCTGGGGATGAGCCTCAGATGATTCAAGGTTCCTTCCCTCGGTCCCTCTGGTGGACTTTTCCATTCCCAGCTCAGGGGCCTTTCCAAACAGCACAAAAGGGACTGGCTGGGCTTCCCTCGCTGCAGGGAGTTGACGTTCCTCTAGTTACGAACTTGGCCTTTAAGCCTTGATGTAACAGAGTCCAAAGGACACCTTCCACACACAGAAGGGAGGGGTGGCCAAGCTCGGAGAAGGCCTTGGATTTCAGAAGTGCTAAACTGTCTTCACGGATGGAAAAACACTTATCTCTTGCCTAAACCTTCAAGGATGGTTGGACCTAGGACGTAATTGGGAGATTCAGGGAAGGCTTAGCAGATAGTGAAAACTGAGCTTGTTTGATGTGTTGGTGTTGTTGGATCCTGATGATTAAATCAACTTGTTTTCTTTGCACAACTTAGTAAGCCCCAAAGCTTACTTAACCCTAACTGAGCTTGCTGTGTGAATCTAATACACCAGAGGTCCCCAACCTTTTGGGCACCAGGGACCAGTTCTGTGGAGAAAGGTTTTTCCACGGACTACAGGGTGCATGGTTTTGTGTTGCTTGTTTTGCTTGTTTGTGCGGACCGGTTGTTGGCATGCTGAGGCCCACAGACCGGGGGTTGGGGACTCCTGTAATACACCTGAACGGTTTTCCCCTTAATCTGGTGAAATGCGTTGCATGACCATTAAAACGGTTGAGAGTAACCAGGCATGGGGTGTTTTGTGAAGGTTCTGAGCTGAAAGATCTGCCCAGGCTCACTGCTTTCTTTCTAATCTCACCGCCTCCACCTTTTCCCTCCTGCCAGATCCACAGTTTGTGAAGATTGCACCAATCAAGCAAGAAGAGGCCTACAACGACAAGATCTACTTCTTCTTCCGAGAGGACAACCCTAACTGGCCAAATAATCCTCTGGCCCCAAGGAAGATCTCCAGGGTGGCTCAAGTGTGCAAGGTCAAGAATGGGTTTTGAGAAGACTCTTGGGATACTTTGCTATGTTGGTAGCTTAGTTTTGGTGGGAACCAGTCCCTCCATGTCTGTCCAACAATCCTGGGTGAACGATGACAAGCATATTATGATGCAAACAATTTGGCTCTTCTACTTGCATCAGACATCACAATATGTAGAAGTCATTCAGTGGTATACCACTGCATCAATGGTGCAATAATGCTAGGCTGCACCAGGCATTGTGACCTCCTGGTGGCTTGTTATGGGCTCTGCAGCAGCCAATGGGGTCTATGGCTTAGAACCAAAGTTGAATCCAGTCATGGTGGCTTCTTCAATCAATGATGTCAGAAGCAAAGAATCAGGGCCATACATAAAAGATTTATTCAAGGTTATGCACAAGAATCTGGTCAACTAAAGTTCAGCACAAAAATGGTGCCAGATCAGGGTCAATGGAATTTAGGAGGGGCTGGACTTGGAGCGCTTGTGGGAACGCAATGATCCTAAGCTGATGACATGCTTAACTCCTCCCTTCTAGCTTTGTTTACTCTTCACTTACAAATGATCACTTAGCAGAATACACGAACCAAATTGGGTCTTCTCATTCCCCTGGAAGATTTTATATGTGAATTTAGATTTGTGCAAAAGGAATGGGAATGAGGGTGAAATGAGATGCTGTCCATCCAAACTATCTCTGATTACTTTTTGACTTTGAACTATAAATGGCTTCCGCAAAGATCACATTTAATTCTCTGTTTTCAAAAAAAGATTAGAAGGGCCACCCAAAGCTCAGGAGAGCTTTTTTTGCTGCTCTCCTAATAAACTCTTTCTTCCCTTCTGTCTGCAGGGTGACAAAGGGGGCAATGGGTCCTTTTCAGCAGCCAAGTGGACAACTCTCCTGAAGGCCACATTGCTCTGTGTGGACTCAGCCACTAAACGAAACTTTGAGTGGCTTCAAGACGTCTTTATCGTTGAATCGGACCAATGGTTTCAGACAAAGATCTACGGGCTTTTCCTCAATGAGTGGTGAGTCTTTTGCTCCTTGGCCATAAATCACCACCAAGGGACTTTGGGTTGACTTTCATCATGGAAGTGGAGAACCTTCTTCCCATGCAGGAACTTTTCTTCCTTCTTCCCCATTTTATCCTGGTGGCATGGAATTAGACTATGGCAAGGGCCTCACTTTTATTGGAAAAAAAAAAAGAGTTCCCATTGATGGAAGGCTGGTTCCTTGTGTCTCCTTTCCACAGGGGTTACTCGGCAGTCTGCGTCTATTCCGTTAGTGACATCAGCGAACACTTCAGAACGTCTCCCCTGAAAAACTACAGTGGAAAAAGTCCTGCTGTGAAGCCAGGACAGGTAAAAAGCAATGATGAACATTGGGTGGAAAAGTGATCCTTCCAATATGTAGTCAATTTGGAGACTATGTGATAACTCAGAGAGGATGAGCTATAATAGCAATAGCAATAGCACTTAGACTTATATACCGCTTCACGCTGCTTTACAGCCCTCTCTAAGCGTTTTACAGAGTCAGCCTATTGCCCCCAACAATCTGGATCCTCACTGTACCAACCTTGGAAGGCTGAGTCAGTCAGAATCGAACTCCTGGAAGTTGGCAGGGAAGGAAGGAAGGAAGGGAGGGAGGGAGGGAGGGAGGGCAATAGCACTTAGACTTATATCCCGCTTCACACTGCTTTACAGCCCCCTCTAAATGGTTTACAGAGTCAGCCTATTTGCCCCCAACAATCTGGGTCCTCATTTTACCCACCTTGGAAGGATGGAAGGCTGAGTCAACCTTGAGCTGGTCAGGATCGAACTGCTGGCAGTTGGCAGAATTAACCTGCAATACTGCATTTTAGCCACTGTGCCACTACGGCACTTAATGACTAAATCATAATGACTAAAAGCATAGGACAATTTTCTCAATCCCATCTTCTTCTACTCCTTTTTACTGCAGATGCAGAAGTGTATGCCAGAAATATAAAATCACTAATGAGTTTACTTGGGTTGGGTTGATGTTATGGTTTCAGCTTCTCCGTATTTAATTTCATTTGTTCTTAGTCTTTTACATGTGTGTATATCATTTACAAGAAATCAACAAAGCATTTGTTTAAAAACGCATTGCAGGCCATGCTCTGTCTATCCAGTCCAAATTACCAGGGAATTTTAGCTTCAAAAAAGGAACATTGTACAAGTGTTCCTTTTCATTTTTTCTCTCACTAGTCACACATGAAACATGTAGGAGCAGTTCTTTTCTGAACACTTGTCTACTCCAGTTGAAAGCACATTTCCATCCATGTCACACTGGAGCAAACTGGGGTTCCATCCATCCATCCATCCATCCATCCATCATCTCTTTCTTTCTCTGAACCCTCCACTATTCACCCATCCATCTGTCCATCCATCTTTCCATCCTAGTTCTGTCTCTCTATTCATCCATCCACCTAGTTCTGTCTCTCTATTCATCCATCTCTCTCTGTCTCTTTCTTTTTATCATCTTTTTATCTCTCTTTCTTTTACCATCCATCCATTCGCCCATCCACCTCTCTCTTTCTCCAACCCTTCATCATTCAACCATTTCTCTACCTATCCCTACATCCCACCTTTTTCTCTCTAGACTCCCTCCCTCCCTCCCTTTCTTCCTTTCTTCCTTCTTTCCTCTCTTCTCTCCCTTGTCTCTCCTTCCTTGGAAGGAAGGAAGGAATCACCCATTTCTTTCCTGCCCTGTCTCTATTCTACTTTCCTATCTATACCATCTGCCTACCTATCCAATCCTTGGTGCCTTTTCTGACATATTTGACTGTGCTCCCATCCACCCTATCTGTGACAGGTTTGTGAAAAGAATGGACATGTCTGCAGTATTAGCTGTTGAGTATCCCCACTGCTTTAGTCATTCTGAAAACAGGACTCCAGTCCTCACGGCTTGCAAACCTGCAGATCGATTAAGCTTTTAGTAAATCAAAAGCCCAAAGAGCATATAATGTTGGGTCTCTATGGAACTCTTCCTCTATTCATCTCATTATTATCAGCTCTGTGGCTTTCTTGACAGTGTCTAGAAGGAAATGAAAAGACTCCACCTGAGACTTTCAAAGTGATCGACAGCTATCCAGAGTTGGCCGCCCAAATGAACGGGAAAATTGTCTTCTACAGCAAACATCACTACCAGCAACTCGGCGTCCACCAGGTTGAGGCAGCAAATAATGAGATCTACAATGTTCTGTATTTAGCCACAGGTAAGCCACAAAGCCATCCATAATGTGCCTACTAGTTGTAGAAGTGGTGCGTGAAAGTTTTGGTAGGAAGGCTCTGTGGCTGTACGAGAGATCTTCTCAACTCAACATAAAGGCATTTGGGGTGTTTGTGTGTGTGTGTCTTCTTCTACAAACAGTATAAAACTTTGGCTCAGCTGCTCTCCCCCTTGTTTTGTAGCCAGACTCCTGAAACCTGCCCTCTTGAACTTAGCAAGTGCTGGGCCCTATAGCTCTCTCTGGAATACCTCTCTCTTGCTTTGACCCAGATAAAGATTAGATTGCAACAGCCGAGGATGTAGCCATGAATCAGAGTTGGAGAAATGGGTAGTAGGAATTCTCTGACGTTGGCTTTTCATTTGCATTCTCCCTTCAGTAGCCTTCTCGGTGCTGTGATCTTGGAAAAGGGAGATTTGATGTCAGGTTGCACATTGAACAGTCACCTGTCCTGCCAGCTTTGGGTGTGATGGGCTACACCAGGAGTAGGCAACCTTGGCTCTTTTATGACTCGTGGACTTCAACTCCCAGAATTCCTGAGCCAGCCATGCTGAGGAGAAATGGAGAGGTTTCCAAGCTGAGCCATGCTGGCTCAGGAATTCTGGGAGTTGAAGTCCACGAGTCATAAAAGAACCAAGGTTGCCTACCCCTGGCACTGTTGAGTGTTGTTGCTTTCTGTGTGACTGGCCTGCCTGTATCGGGTTTGTGTCACCGTGACTGGCCTGCCTGTATCGGGTTTGTGTCACCGTGATGAGGTGCTCTCTCTTGCTTATGGGGTGGTGGTGGTGGTTAAGAATTGTGTGATCAAATGAGAAATTGTGGCCATCTGCTCCACTTTCATCTTTCTTGGAAGCTTCTGGCTATTTCTCGAATGAGAACTCTTATGGAGAATTCTTAGAACCCAAATGTTTGATTGCTGGGATAAGGCCATAATATGGGAATTGGTCAAGGATGGAAGAGCAGGAGGAAAAAGTCCTTTCTAAAGAGTTATATCAGGGGTGTCAAACTGCCGGCGCACGGGCCAGACACTTCATCCCAAAACCGCGCCCACCCCATTGCCGGCAATGGAGAAAAAGCTCCGATACGTCGCGCGACATCACGTGACGTCGCGAGTTTGACATGCCTGGGTTATAAAGTCAAATGTACTCAAATCCATCAAAGTGGAGAACGTCCCCTTGCCTCTCTGGTCCACTTGAGTCTTGTCATCCATTCTTTTGGATTGACAAAATGTTAATTTTGTTGTTTTCTCAAACTATAAAATACAAAGAGAAAATTCTAGCAAGTAATAGAAAACTAGAAGAAAGGAAAGGGAAAAGAAAAAAGGCACCAACTTCCAACTCTCTTTAGCACAGGAGAAGATTACCACATGACAGTCACAACTTTTTACTTTTACACAACAATGTGTGCAAACCCTCTCTACAACAATAAACCTGTCTAATTAGCAAAAGCAAAAGCAAAATTTCATTTTTCTTTTTCATTGCAAGCACAAAATCCGGAAGCAGTTTCAAAAACAGAAACAGGATTAGATGTATTCTCTTTTTTGGACAAAAGAATCAGTTTGACCATCTCTGCTTCTCTTTACTGTGGGGAATAATATATACCTTTATTGTCTCATGAATCTTTATCCTAATTCATATTAAGGGAATCCTTTATATGATTTCGTGGGGGGTTTTTCCTCACCATTCATGTCCCTGTCTTCATCTTGCTAATCCCTCTTTCTCCTCATCCCACATACAGACAAAGGAAGCATCCATAAGGTGGTCGTCTTGCCAAAAGGACCCATGAATATTCTGGAAATCCAGCCTTTCCAATCCCAGGCGGGCATCCTTGCCATGATTTTAGACCATTCAAGGGTAAGAAAGACTTCACAGCATGGAGACTTAATCACAATGAGTAGTCAGCACATGAGTGTCCAGCTGTTGTTGGACTCTGGTTTCCAGCTTCTTTATCATTGGTCCTTCTGGCCAGGATGTCAAGTTTTGGTTTCATGACCTCGGGATGGCTGCCCATTTTCCACAGCTGGTTGACTATCTCTTGATGGGTCAAGAAAGCTCATTTCAATGGCTCCTTTGTTTTATTGTGCAGAATGAATTAATTGTGGCTTCGGCCAACGAGGTGGTGCAGCTTCCCATGGCCTCTTGTGGGGCATATCAGAACAACTGTGGGAGCTGTGTGCTGTCCAGAGACCCCTACTGTGGATGGATCAACGAGGAATGTACTTCTATTTATGAGCAGGAAAATGGGTAGGTTACATAATTTATATAATTGGTTTGATGGCGACATGGCACGTCTGAGATCACCAGAGCTTCTTAAACCAGACAAGCTTTTCTAAAACATAAGTGCAATGTCACTTTCTCAGTTGGGTGTATACATGCAACTGTGGTCCATTAAGTCAGGTAATGATCTTATGGGCTATATTCCCACATGCTAAGCTTGGTTAGTGTTGACCTTTTTTGAATGGCTTCTCTCTTGCATGAACCCAACCAAGTTGATTGCTACTGAACTAGTTTATTGTACAAACCTAGAAAAGTGGTTAATTTAGCAACCCAGTAAAAATGTGTAAAAATGGGGCCTCCGAATAAGGCAATGAAATTTTCTTCATTGATTATGAATCTTCAGCTATTTTTTTTTTGACCAGCTAAACAAATGTAAACAATCATGTAACTACTGTATATCTTTTATGGAGATGCAACAGGCTGACCCTTTGATGGCCTAATTCAGGGATAGTCAACCTTGGCTCTTTTATGACTCGTGGACTTCAACTCCCAGAATTCCTGAGCCAGCTTAGCTGGCTCAGGAATTCTGGGAGTTGAAGTCCACGAGTCATAAAAGAGCCAAGGTTGACTACCCCTGGCCTAATTTATGAAGGAATATGATGTTTAACTTGATTTTTCTTTTTCTTTTTAGAACCTTATTGCAGTCTCTAAGCCATGATGTCCCTCGGAACATTTGTCCTACTTCAAACAACTTGACCTCCGAAGGTAATATTCACAAAAAAAAACTTGAGTGTACTTAAGAAGAAGGCGGCAGCAGATGTTTCCTGCAAAATCTGTGAAAATACATTTTAAAAAGCCCACAAGAAATTAGGAAAAGGAAGAAGTTAGAGGGGGGTAAATGAGGTTTTGTTAGAAAGAATGGCCCCCGCACAAAGTGTTGAAGTCTCAGTGGATTGCAAGAAAAAAAAAGTTTGTGATTTTAGAATGAACAGAAAGAATAATTAACTGAGCTGCTCTTCTGAAAGTTGATGGAGGCTTATAAAAATCGCCACATTCAGTTTCATTTGTTTGTTCAGTTTGGTAACTGCCTCAAACTTTGGTGAAGTGAAACAAATTAGGAATCACACAACCCTGAAATAATCAGTTAAAAATATACAGAAATGTGAAAGTACACATGTCCAGAATTAGCATCTTCTATAACAGAGGTCCCCAACCTTTTGGGCACCAGGGACCAGTTCCATGGAGAGAGGTTTTTCCACAGACCGGAGGGTGTGTGGTTTTGTGTGCTGCCTGCATCCCATGGATGGGGCTTTGCTTGTTTGTGCAGACCGGTTGTTGGCATGCCACGGACCGGTACTGGTCCACGGATGGGGGGTTGGGGACCCCTGTTCTATAATATGGAGGAAACCACAGAGAAGGCCAGCCATGAACCTTGGACAGGGAAGGGATTCTTAGCCAGTTTTCCCAAGAAGACCAGACCAATAAACAATTTTAATTTGTTGGGTTTGGCGACAAATATGAAAAGAGGCCCTCTAATGAGGCTGGCTTGACAATAGATGTGGAGCAGAAAATCTCTTCGCAACCTGAAAAAAAGACTTCATGGGAACTACCACAAGACTCTAGCCTGAGGGCTTTGAAAGATGTTGAGACTCTAGAATAGGGGTGTCAAAACTGGTGGTCGGTGGGCCGGATGTGTCATGCACAGGCCATGCCCACTCCTGGATCAACACCCCGGGTCAACACCCCAGCTTTGCAAAGGCAAAAAAATGTCACGACACCTCACGATACCTCATGTGACGTGATTTTGATACCCGTGCTCTAGAAAGAGTGCAGAGAAGAGCAGCAAAGATAAATAGGGGGCTGGAGGCTAAAACATGTGAGGAACGGTTGCAGGAATTGGGTATGGCCAGTCTAGAGAAAAGAAGGATTAGGGGTGACATGATAGCAGTGTTCCAGTATTTGAGGGGATGTCACAAAGAAGAGGGGGCTCAACTTATGTTCCAAAGCACCAGAAGGCAGGACAAGAAACAATGGATGGCAAAGTAATCAAGGAGAGAAGCAACCTGGAATTAAGGAGAAACTTCCTAACAGTGAGGACAATTAACCAGTAGAACAGTTTGCCACCAGAAGTTGTGGGTGCTCCATCACTGGAGGTTTTTTAAGAAGAGACTGGACAGCCACTTGTCTGGAATGGTACAGGGTCTCCTGCTTGAGCACGGGGTTGGACTAGAAGACCTCCAAGGTCCCTTCCAGCTCTGTTTTTCTGGTTGTTTAAAAGGAGATGAGAAATAGTCACAAAAGGAGACAGAGATGCCCGCAGACAGGGTGGTGACTCGAAAGGAAAAAAGAGAAAGGAAGGAAGAGGGGTCCTTTGTCGTCGTCGGGTAGGAGTTTCTTACAGTTACACTGAGATGTAAGGGCGATAAAGAACTGAACGAGAGTTCTTAGAGTAATACGATTAATGTGGACCAAGGTATTACTGGCCGGTCAACGTGTGACGTCAAGACCTGTGGCAGACTGCCTTTATTTCATTGACAATATGACCGACCAGCTCTATGGCAAGTATTCCTGCGTATCTAGAGAAGACTGGTTCTATCAGACAGTCCTAACTGAATACCTGGAGAATCCCTCTAAGGACCCAGAGAACAAGGTTGCAAGATCAGTGGGACTTGCCTCTGCGCCATCTTTATCATTCTGGCTGGGCATACTGCACATGATAGGCATAGTCTTGATCATCCAATAAAGCCTGATCTTCTGTGGACTTTCACACCCTGTCCCTACTTGGCCGGATATTCAGGAGCATTTCTGCTGAAGACATCTCACCATGTCTTCAGCTGAGGATCAAAGGTCAGTGCAGATGTTCTTCAAAGCAACATCTCCTTGATCTTCTTGACATCTGGTTGGAGGCAAGGGAGAAGAAGAAGAGACTCCGGAGAAGGAAAAGGATTGATATCCTCAGAGTCACTTGTTGAGATGAGTGGTTCTGTAAATTGGACAATTAGCATCATAGGTAAATGTATCAGGCAAGAAGAACATGGAAACCCTGTGGTGGCCTTGATTAATCTAACCTCAGAAATGAAGATGAGTTGCCTAGAAGCAGATTAGGATTTACAAGGTCTATTTGCACAGGATCTCTGCCAGAAGACTGGCTGGTGGCTTTTCAACTCCTTCCCATCCGTCTATTTGTAGAACAAGCTTGATTCTATGTTTGTGCAGGGATCCACTTTGAGAAAATGGCATTTTCAATTCTCCACCACCTTCGTTGGTGTTACTGCTGCTTATTAAAAGAAAATAGCGAGTGCCAGCTAAAGCTGCCCAGGTCTATAGGCCATAAACTTTTGGAAAAAATACCTTTTTGTATTTCCGAATTGTTGCAGAATATTTATTTATTGTATTTTCTCTTTGTGGAAGAGAAAGCTTCCAATTCTTTGCTTTGTAAACATTTGTCCCTGACCTATATTGTGTGTTTCTCCCAATTCAGTTGCATCCTGTTTCTTTAAACAATTGTGGTCTGTTTGTTGTTGTTGTTGTTGTTGTTTAAAAAAAAAATAATCCACCCAATTGCTTCCTTTGGAAGTCGTGGTTTCATGTTCCTTGGTCGATGAAGGTTTTCAGTCATCTAAAGATGGACTAGGAGAGCTAGTTGCAAATGCCCAGATTTCAAGATGGTGGGTGAAAGAAGAAGCAATGGTTGAACATCTGAGGTGGAGAAGTTCTGATTTCTGGAGAACAGACCTTAAAGAGGAGCAGAGACTTTTTTGGGTAAATCTTTGCAATGAAGTTGTCCAATTGCTCACCTCATGGCGGACCAAGACTCATACTTAAGCCACTTCCCAAGGCTCACTTGTGATCCAACCATTGTTATGGGACCATTGTTTGGAGAATCAATTGTGAAATGAATCAGTCCTCTTTCCATTGAGTACCTCTTGGTCTTTCAAGCCCAAAAGGCAATTCTGTGCTACACTACATTATTTTGTCTTTTTGTTTTTAAAAAGAGCCATTCCTTATTTTGCTTCAGTACATTTCTTTGTTGTTGATATATTGTTATTTTGTGGTCCTTCAATACACTTTGAGCTGCTGTAACCCTTGATTATGAACAGACGGGACCAAAGCAAGTGTGTTTTGTGGGGAAGGGCAATCAAAAAAGTCAAGATGGCGGCTGTGTGGTGGAAGGGGGTGGGGCTTTAATCACATGGCTGTGGCTGCCATTTTGAAGGGGGGACGCACATTTCTCATGGATACCTCTGAACCAAAGACTTATTCCCTTTTTTTATAGTTTTGCTTCCAATTTCTTTGTACCTGAATGTATTTTTTAAATAGAGAGCTTTAAAAATAAATGAATTAAAATGTTTTCAGAATCCACTGGAGTAAAGTCTACATTTCTTAACTCTTTGGGGACTTACCAGTCTGTGAATTCTCATTGTGGATGCTTCAATCCATCCAAATCATAACTGCATGTAGACACCTCAGATGTTTTACATGCTCTTTTTACTGGGGTAATATCGATATTAAAAAATATATACAAGTAGTCCTTGACTTAGGATTGGGCACTTAATGACCAGTCAAAGTTATGACAGATCTCCCCAGGGGTTATTTATGACTTGGATTCGAAGTTCTGACTGCTGCTTCCCCCGGATCATGTGATCGCTTTTTGAGCACTTGGTAACAATCCACAGTTACGGCCGTTTTCCACAACCTGTAGTCACGTGACTGCGATTTTGGGCTTTTTTTTTTTTTTTGCTGGAAACCGGCTTTTACTTCCATTTTCCAGCAAAAAAAAAACAGCCATTGGGTGAAATGGCTTTGTTTAACGACTGTCGTATTTGCTTAACAACTGCAGCGTTAGTTAACAAGCACCACCACACAAACGTTGTAAAATCGGATGCGGTCTGTCATGCCTCCGTCTGAGCCTGACTCTGAGGATGACATAGAGTTCCCTGTTGAGGCCCAGGAGGGGGTGTCTGTGGCTTCGGAGGACTGTGGGGAGGAGCAGGCTGAGGCAGGCCAGGGCCCTTCAAGTTTGGAACAGGGAAGGCAGAGCTTAGGCGAGGAGCAAGGCCCCTCCCTACCAGATCCCAGAGCAAGGAGAGCAGAGAGGAGGAGGGAACAACGGAGGCAGGCTCACTTGCTGGGGAGGAGAGCGTCATTCCCCACTCCACAAAGCACACCTGGGGAGTAGGATTTAAGGAGACGCTGTGGGGTGGAGCATTTGCCGGGAACAAACGTGAACTCTTGTGATAGTGTGCTCTTGTACCTGGACACTTTGATGTAAAAAAGATGCTGAGACTCTAGAAAGAGTACAGAGAAGAGCAACAAAGATGATTAGGGGACTGGAGGCTAAAACATATAAGGAACGGTTGCTGGAATTGGGTATGTCTAGTTTAATGAAGAGAAGGACGAGGGGGGACATGATAGCAGTGTTCCAGTATCTCAGGGGCTGCCACAAAGAAGAGGGAGTCAAGCTATTCTCCAAGGCGCCTGAAGGCAGGACAAGAAGCAATGGGTGGAAACGAATCAAGGAGAGAAGCAACCTAGAACTAAGGAGAAACTTCCTGACAGTGAGAACAATTAACCAGTGGAACAACCTGCCTCCAGAAGCGGTGAATGCTCCAACACTGGAAGTTTTTAAGAAGAGACTGGACAGCCATTTGTCTGAAATGGTGTAGGGTTCCTGCCTGAGCAGGGGGTTGGACTCGATAACCTTCAAGGTCCCTTCCAACTTTATTATTATTATTATTATTATTATTATTATTATTATTATTATTATTATTATTATTATTATTATTATTATTATTATTATTATTATTAAGTTTTCTTCCTGCTGATTTCTCCTTGCTGTCTGCGGTTTTGCAGTTTGCAGTTCACAGGCAAGCTGGGAGTTGAAAGGATTATATGTTTGCTTGTTATCTGTTTTACTTTAAAGCAGTGGTTCTCAACCTGTGGGTCGGGACCCCATTTGGGGTCGATCGACCATTTCACGGGGGTCGCCAAGCAAGGCTGTCCGCCATTTTTTTTGTCCGCCTTTTTTTTTTGTCCGCCATTTTTTCCCCCTTTTCCGGCGGGTGCCTTACTTCCCTTGGGCTGGGCCAGCTGGTGGTCGGCCTGCTCTGTCTCTGCCGCTTGCCAGCTACGCCTCGGCCGGCGCATGGGGCAGAACTACGCATGCATGGCGCTCCCGGGCAGGGAAAGTCCCTGACTTACGACCGGTTGGGTAGTCCTCGACATATGACCGGTTTAGTCCTCGACTTACGACCGGTTTAGTCCTCGACTTACGACCGGTTGGGGTCGCAGCATTAAAAAGGTTGAGAACCACTGCTTTAAAGAACCGTATAAACTTCCCTGACTGTTTTATTGTACTTGTGCCAGCATATGTGGGGGCTGTTGGGTGAACGTTGGCAGTGCTTACAAAGACAATTGTTCTGACCAGCTAATTGCTTTGCCTCCGTTCGGGGCCCTGGGTCATCACAGGGTCATAGGGTGACCCGCTTAAGCACCACCATGGCTTATGACCATAATTCTGGGCTCAGCTATGGTCGTAACCCCGGGGCTACCTCAACAAACATCTGCTGTCACCCGACTGGCCTTAGTTAACCGATGCAATTAGCCTGAACCAAGAGCTTCCTCTTTTTTTCTTTTTCTTTGCAACTTTTAGCTAAGCCACTTTTTCTCCTGAATCTTAGAAATTCCTTGTAAAAGAATTGGGCAATGAGACGAGAGCTTAGCCAAAAATCTTATAGAGGTTTGACCCTGACTGGGTGCCTAGGATGGGACCCAGATTGTAAGTTATTTTTGGTTGCACCCTTGTACACATTTCTTTTGAAGTCTGCCCACAGGCTCTCCGGGGAGAACATCTTTAGAATAGTTCCTTCTCCTTTTCCTGTTCTATTGTGATGGTATTTTGGATCTATATAGAGAACTCCAAATTTGTCTTGTTTTTATCCCGCTTCCTCCTTTTTTTTTGTTTCTTGGTTCCGCTCCTAATATAATGCACACACACAGCTCTATTTATGCTGATGGCTTCAGCGGCTGTTAAAAGCCTTCCATTTTTCAGTTCCTCAATAAAATAAAAAGAACTAAAAATAAAAGCATCAACAGCAAATACTGGAGATGAGTCAGAACGTCGAGGAGTTTTCCCTAGCCCAGTGGTGGCGAGCCTATGGCACGGGTGCCAAAGGCGGCACTCGGAGCCCTCTCTGTGGGCACACGTGCTGTTGCTCCAGCCTTGCCTCCCCCCACAACTCCCTCCTCACCAGCAGCCCCCTGGAGGAGAGTCACCCCCAAGCATGGCCCACACGGAGCAGTGCAGCCAAGGACATGGGAGCCAGGCAGCGTAGACAAGACTCTGCCCTCATGCCACATCGTGTGGGCAGAGGGCGTGGCCACCATGGCACTGCTGGGCTGCCTGGGTGATCTGCGGCCTTGTGGGCAGGTGGGGCGAGGGACAGGGTGGGGTGGAGCGGGGGCGGGGGCGGGGTAGGGGGTGGAGCGGGGCCAGGGCCAGTTTTTGGGCACTCGGTCTCTAAAAGGTTCGCCATCACTGCCCTAGCCTCTTGTCCTCAATGGAAATACCTCCCTTGCTGAATCTGCTAGGAGAATTATAGAATGGAAGGGTTGTGAAAGATCTTAGCAACCATCTAACTCAGTGTTTCTCAAACTGGGCAACTTTAAGGCTTGTGGACTTCAATTCCCAGAATTCCCCAGCCAGCCAGCCAGCCAGCATGGGAAGTTCAAGTCCACACCTCTTGAAGTTGCCCAGGTTAAGAAACACTGAGCTAACTTACAACTTGCCCAGTGCAGGTGTGAATACTGATAAAAGAAGGACGCCAATTATACCTGTCCGTGTTGGACAACCTGACCATCAAGTTCAGATGTAACTTCGAACGTTCACTAAATGAACGATTGTAAGCCGAGGACCGCCTG